TGCTAGTAGCATCATCTGGGATGCTAGTAGCATCATCTGGGATGCTAGTAGCATCATCTGGGATGCTAGTAGCATCATCTGGGATGCTAGTAGCATCATCTGGGATGCTAGTAGCATCGCAAGTAATGCTACTATCATCCTATGTAATGCTACTAGCATTCCAGGTAATGTTACTAGCCTCCCAGGTAATGCTACTAATGTCCGTTTCAAAATATAATGCGTCCGACTGTTTTTTGAATAACTCAAGAACACAATTAGCTAGAGACCTCCGGTTTTCACCAATCGAAAGAAGAGACAGGGGGCGTCTTTTTCTCCAATATCGTATCAGACGGAATCATTTTGAAACCAGTCATTTCTGCATAACATCGAAAAAATGGTGTGTCATTCAGATGAAATTTTGGCAAAAAAGTAAAAAAATTTGCTTCAAAATTAAAAGAAATTCATACTTTTCTTGCGAGTAAATAGACGATTTTATTTGCTAAATGTTAGGATGCGGTAAGATAATCCTTCGAATTATATTCTTAAGTATAGATCCGAAGCCCCTCTATCTAGATCATACGTCAAAAGGAAAATTTTTGTTCAAGATGCCAGGTCGTTTTCATGCATTTTTTGCAATGTTTTGCAGAAATGACTGATTCTGAAATGATTTTGTCGGATACAATATTGAAGAAAAAGACGTCCCCCTGTCTCTTCTTTCGATTGGTGAAAACCGCAGATCTCTAGCTGATTGCGTTCTCGAGTTATCCAAAAAACAGTGGGACGCATTATATTTTGAAACGGACATTAGTATCGCAGGTAATGCTGCTAGCATCCCAGGTAGTGCTACTAGCTTCCCATGTAATGCTACTAGCACCCCGGCAATGCTACTAGCATCCCAGGCAATGCTACGAGCATCTCAGGCAATGCAACTCGCATCCCAGGTGGTTCTTTAAGGGAATTCAAAATTTGGAGTTTACACGGTTCCGAGGTATTTGTCTTGACCCTGAACTGTATGAGCTGAAGTGAGGTCAATGAGTAAAACGTCGATGCGTAAGTGAGCTCCAAATTTGGAGTTTACGCAGTTTGGAGCTCACTTTTTTTGACCCACCCACACCCCACACTCACATCTACACCCCACGCCCATACCCACACCCACACCCACACCGACACCGACACCCACACCCCGCACCCGCACCCACACCCCCCCCCCCCCCACCCACACCCACACTCACAACCACACCCACACCCTATTATTGCGTCATGACTAAAATCCTTAGTTACTATTTACATTTGAAAAAGAAAGGTTTGGGATTTGAAGAAGACAATGCAGTTTATTTAAAAGAAGCTTCTAATATGATTTGAGAATTTCAAGTTCAATAATCACAGCTAAATAATCACTTGGGGTCGGTATGGGTGTGGGTGTGAGCGGGGGCGTATGTTCGAGTGCGGGTATTGATGCTAACAAACTCTAACAACCACACCCACATGCACACCTACACCCACACCCTAACTAAAGTCGTACGTCATTTTTTTCCATATTTTTTGCTCATGTATTGTTGAACATTGGGATAAATAAATCGCTTAATTTTGGAGTTACTAGCGCTTGGGTGTTGATAGTATTCCCGAATTTCTGTTGAGCTGACATCGACGAGTTTGGTGCGCTCGTTTGATAATGGAATATAGATACAACTGGATTTTTGAATTGTGCGACTAATTTGCTTTTCATCGTATCCCACACGATAGACAATAGCACAGGCCATGTTCTTTGTTTTAGCCATGTTTTCAACGTAAGAACATTTGTTAAAGTGGTCTAACCCACAAATGTATACTACACATAATGGGTATTTGAGAATATTTTGTTGATCGACTAATGTGCTATTAAGAAAATCACGAAAATTTTCAGCGACAGGGCCAAAATCAACAAATCCAGCTGACCATTCACTTTCGCCTCGAGAAACGCTAATCCAGGATGACATTTCTGGGCCTTCATGTGTAATAGCTCCTTCGCAGAGTTGACACCGGTCTTCAGATGGAATCCATGCAGGGTCACCCAATTTTTTATGCACATAGCTATCGCTTTAATAAAAAGTTGTCATATATATAGATATATAGATATGAAGGAAAAACATATTGGAGATTACATACTGCGTTGGTGAGATATATCCGGCAAGAACGTTCCAAGGAGGTTGATGCTCTTGCTCAAGATATTTTTTCGCAGATAGCAGATTTCGTAAATGTGCTGTATGAATAGGATTGAATGAGCCAGTCGTAAGCAAAACACAACTACATAGAATCAATAAAACATCAAAATTGAGTGTTAAACATGCATTTTATTAAGGAAAGATCAGAAATTTTTCATACAAAGCAATACGTTTATAATTTTATCTATGTTGTTGCGTCCAGAGCATAAGCGTATATTATAGTATAATGTAGTAGACATATAACGACTATGCTTATTCTATACTTTCAACATTTTGTCTTTACATTTCACTATATATATGTTTACTGAAGATCGCTAATCAGAATGGGCAATTGAAAATGGCTGACGCACTTGAAAACAAAAAATGTGATTTCTGTTTGAATTGAAAAGATATTTCAGATAAAATATTAAGTGGAGTAGAAGGAAAACTTTTACAGAATGATATCCGATGATATGGCTTTTTGTGAGCCACATAAATGTACTTCATGCTAGTGCTTACTTGTAACGGTTATTGATCAAATTTCGCATTTTACAATTTCTTATTAGTATGTGGATATCTGTATTTATCGAATTATGCATCATCTGGGCGTTCATATTGACAGAAGTATTAAAACTCTGAAAACCAGTTGCACCTTGATACACTTCCTCGTTGACGTTGGTTGGTTCAGAAGAGTGTGTATAGCTTTCTATCATAATTAAAGAAGACGAAATAAGGAAGGTTTCACAAAGATAGAAATCGAAAAAGATACTTCCTGTGAAAAATAATTTCGTATGAAATTGCATTTCAACGCGAATTTTCAGAGAAGAAATGTTATTTGTACGTTGAAAACTTTTATACATAAACATTCATACACATCGATATTTATTTGCATCGTGTTCTTTCGGATTGCTTTTATTCTCAGTCCTAGAATAGTAACTGGCACGTATTTTTCCTCAGTAGCGCCGTTAGTGGTTTAATCTCTTAGACCGGACTGAACTTCTAGGTATACCAATCTGAGCCATTTTTCATTACTTTCGAGCTGTAATATTTGAGTCACGCACTTGATTACTCATATCTTCCTTTTAATCATTACAGTAATGATATGGGAGTTTCATTTCACTAATGTTGAGCTTCTCGCTATTTGGATGCGATGGGGTGTGAGTATCTGTGTAGATGTAATTACCAACCATCACCTACACTCAACTATTTTTTGATTTTACAATCAATACTTTTTTAAAGTTTTGATGAGCATTAAACAAATGATAAAGAAGTATTATGAAAACCTGAAACTGTTATATTCTCTGAGAATCGCTTCATTTTTCTGAAATTAATGAATATTTTCCACTTACTAGAATTCGTCGACTTTGGGTAGACTTTGGGTTTGTTTGACGTTTGAAAATCGAACTGTTGTGTGTGTGTTGGTGTTCGGTCAAAATAGACGAAATTCCGCAGTTCTTGGGTTCTAGCAGACACTCTAACAAATTGGTGTTCTCTGGAATTTAATTCTGATTTCAGAATTTTTTCTGCGTTTTCCTGATCGCTGGTGAAAACCATACATTCATTATTGAAGCCCATTCGTCGTAGTGCTTTGATCAATCGTGCACCGGCATTATGAATTGGATATTCATTTTCACGGTTCATATCGGTGACAATACGAAATGTCTCTTTGTTTTTCAAGCGTTGTCCGAATGGTGATCTAAGAAAGGATAGCGCATTCTCTGTCGTAGATTTAGGAATAAAATGTACATTCATGTTGAGTGCTTGAGTTGATGCATATTCCATATGTTTTTTATTTTCCCAGTTCTCATTGAATATTCTGTCGTCAACCCATAGTACTGACCATTTCGATAGACCCAATTCAATTTGACGCATGTAAATCGTGTGTTGGGTTCCATGAAAGGAAGTCGCATGCTTGAAGACAAGAAATGTGGAATGTGGTAAGAATAAAACTTCATCTTCTTTTGGAAAATTGGAAAACTCTCGAATGGGCCGACCAGTTAACGAATAGATTTTGAAAAATGTGTTTCGATGTTCGAAACCACCTTCAGATACTTCTTTACCTTTCTTAGAACTGCTGAATTGGATCCATGTGATCAGATTGCCAGGTGTATAAAGCTTCAGCTCGTGATCCTTCAGTTCGCAAGCTCGAGTCACATAGCCCCAATAATAAGGAATGTATGAAAGAGATTTAACTAGATAAAACAGTATAAGAGCCGCTTCATTCAATTCCTCTACTACTTTCGGTTCGATTGCAACTCCGTTGGCACGTCTAGCCATGAGGCTTGCACCGCGACTGATCGTTTCACTTTCGGTGCCAGTGTAGAATGAAAGTGCTAATGATAATGCTTGAGCTTCATCTTTCGATACACCTTTTTGTTGGAAAATCGGAGTTGAATTAGCAACGCGTGCATCATGCTTTGCCATTACTTTTTCCACATTAATATTCGGCTTTGTTTCGTAACGATAGCAAAGTGATCTCAGTTTTCCGAATGATGAGTTTTTTTCCACAAGACCGAAAAGTGTTGGATTGAAATTATCTTCATAGACGAAATGATCGGTGCGAGCATCACTGAGATCTTCAGTTTGATAATGTAACTCCATATGCTCAAGTATAAACTCCACTTCTTCACATTCCATTATTGAGATACTAGCTGCAGCTTCAAATTGATTTTCGTTCGATTCTTCTCTAGACTCGATCATATCCCCAAGTTTCTCTAAAGCATCATCGTCGTTTACATAACCCACTAATATCATATAGCAGTCATGAGCCAATCGATGACTTGCTGACACGCTTTTCGGATTAAATAATTGTAAATCTTTGATGATTTCTGCAACTTCTCTTCCATGCGTTTCCTTTTTTGGCATATCAATTGAAATCGATCTGAAATAGAAAATCTTAGAAACTGAAAAGACAGCACTGGCTTTGAACAATATGGAGTCAAGGGATCGTATGACTGAGTCTTTTCATTTAGGAAGTCGCACATACTCCACACCCATATCCGAGAGTCAGCAGCTATTGCAACGCGAAAAATATCTTATGCTATCATAATAAAAAGTTACTCAAATAACACAAAGATGTTAAGCTATTTACCGTGGTGAACTCTATCGTCCTATAACAACATCTAAAACGATAATTGCGTGGACCAATGCATAGTCTTATACGTTTTCGTGCTTTCATAAAGTATTTCAAATTCTTCTTAAAGTATTTCTTTTGTTTTTCGAAAAACTCATAAAGGTAAAGGCACTAATGAAGCCATGCTTGATAGGAAGAAATACTAGACACTTTGCTTATGTTATCATGTATTCTACACAGCAACAAAATTATTTTTTGAAAATAAAATGAAAGGTTATACACGAATGCATGCAGAGGTTCTATAATTTTGGCATACTCTTTGTATGTATAGTTGCCAGACCTTCCGATCAAGAGTAAGATGAGAACAGTTCTGTAAACTACAGTTTGATGACTCTAAGTGTAAGGTTGGTAGACGACTTCTGTTCCTTACCGCTCATTTATATAATAACAGACTCATATTTCAAGATAGAAGACATGGCGATAACTTATTGGAAGGCATTATAGATAGTTCTTTGTCTCAAAATTAGTTTGCTCAACAATACCGTGAAGCGAAAACTATATCAAAGCGCAACCTAGAAGCTTAGATTTTTGATTCCAGTGCATGGTCACACAAAACGCTCTCTCACCGCTACACTCAGCGCCGAGCATGTATTTCAATCTGCCACTTATTCAAAAAAAAATGAAGCGAACGGAAAAAAAACAGCTTCCACGCTGATTATTTCAACACTTATCGGGATGCACACATTCCGCGAAAGAGCAGACAATAATGAATACGTTTCGACGAAAACAGCAGCACTTTAAATGCCTACTTAAAACACTCCTTCTTTCTACTTTCCGCTCAATACTGGACTTTCAAGCTATTGTGGAACTTGTGTCTATCTAACATCGATCAGCTGAGTACACTCCTTTGATCCTGGAATATAAATGCAACCGAATATTTGGCTTGCACAACTAATTCGGTGCCGCGTTAAATCCATGAGATCAAAATGCCAGGTGTATAAAACTTCAGCATATGATCCTTGAGCAGGAAAGCCCGAATTATATAGCCCCAATCATAATGAATGTACAAAAGAGATTTAATTAGATAAAACAGTATAAGAGCTGCTTCGTTCAATTTCTCGACCAATTCCCTTCGGTGTGGGTGTGGGTGTAGAGCGCGGGTGTGGGTGTGGGTGGGTGTGGGGAAGGTGTGAGGTGTGGATGTGGGTGGGTGTGCGTGTGGGGTGTGGATGTGGGTGGGTTGGGTGTGGGTGTGGATGTCGGTGTGGGTGCTGGTGTGTGGCTGTGGGTTTGGGTGTGGGTGTGAGTGTGGGTGTGGGTGTCGGTGTGTGGGTGTGAGTGTGGGTCTGGGTCTGGGTCTGGGTCTGAGCATCCTTCTAGTCCCTCTCTTAACTCACACCCATGCCCACACCCCCACCCCCCCCCCCCCTCCCCCCCACCCCCCCCCCTCCCCCCACCCCACACCCCACACCCACACCCCACTCACACCCACACCCAGTTAGGAATAGATTCCGAGCTTGAGCCGAACTGACGTACCAATATCAACCTTGTCCGTACGTTGGTATATCGTTTCGGCCTTTGCATTCAACATATTTAACCGAAGAGGTCGGAGTAAACACTGCTTTTCTATTGTAGGAATAATCTTACCTTCTGTTATTTGCATGAAGGCTTTCTTGTCGATTTTGCGTAAAACAAATGTTAAATGGCAACCCAAGGGGGAAAAAGCGGATCCTCCGATCCTTTGGATCCTCTGGGTCCTGTTGGATCCAAAATGATCCGGATGATCCAACAGGATCCGGAGGATCCAAAGAATCCAAGGATCCAAGGATCCAAAGGATCCAAGGATCCAAAGGATCCAAGGATCCAAAGGATCCAAGGATCCAAAGAATTCAAGGATCCAAAGGATTCAAGGATCCGAGGATCCGCTTTTTCCCCCTTGTGGCAGCCTAACTGTTATGTGGCCTTCTCCTTCACTTTTTTCTCTCATTCTCCTTCATTATTTTTCTCCTTTTCTTCTTTTAGACACAAAAAACAACCTTTTCTTAACAGTAGCGGTTGTTTACATGTGTCAGACACGAGAGAAAGAAAGTAATGATTATAAACATGAGAGAATTGCATCGAAGGAAAATGTGAGAGAACACATTTATGACAGAAGGCACAACTGGGTTTGGGTTGGTGTCGGGTATGGGTGTGGGAGTGGGGATGTGGGGTGTGCGCGTGTGGGAGTGGGGATGTGGCGTGTGGGTGTGGATGTGTGGGTGTGGGTGTGGATGTGGATTGTGGGTGTGGGTGTGGGTGTGGATTGTGGGTGTGGGTGTGGGTGTGGATTGTGGGTGGGAGTGTGAGTGTGAGTGTGGGTGTGAGTGTGAGTGTGGGTGTGGGTGTGGGTGTGGGTGGAGTGGGTGTGGGCGTGGGCGTGGGTTTGGGTTTGGGTGTGGGTGGTGCAAGGGGAAAAAACGGAATCCTGGAATCCGGTGGAATATTACGGAATCTCACGGAATCATGGAATCCAATGGAATCCGATGGAGTCCAATAGAATCCGATGAAATCTGATGGAATTCGATGGAATCCAATGGAATCCGATGGAATCGAATGGAATCCGATGGAATCGAATGGAAAGCCGATGGAATCCAATGGAATCCGGTGGAATCCTAGGGGTGTGGATGTGGGTGTGGGTGGGTGTGGGTGTGGTCTGGGTCTGGGTCTGGGTGTGGGTGTGTGGGTGTGGGTGTGTGGGTGTGGGTGTGGGTGTGGATGTGGATGTGGATGTGGACGTGGACGTGTACATTATTCTTGCGCACACCCACACCCACACCCATCGTTTTGTCAAGCAAATCCATTTCATTTTAAGATATGATGAAAGCTAATGAGTGAATTTGAAATAGGCTGTTTTTTAAAGAATTTCACGGTGCATCGTTTCATAAAAAAATTATATATGTATTTTCTTTGAAAGGAATAGAAATTAATGCTAAAATATTGAGAGGACCATTTATTCTGGCACACGCGTTATTTTTCTGTTCTATTCGTGAATTTTTGCAGATTCAATGTATTTAAAGATCAAGATGATTACACAAAAATAAATCCGGATCTTGTCTCATAGCATATTGGGATCATAAGTAACGAATAATAAAGGAAAACGAAACAAAAAGTATTTAATACTCACACAAGTAATAAAAAGATGTTTTATTGTATATGATCGAAGATGAAATGAATAAAAGACACCGAGCAAAAGTCAATATTTGTTAAAGCTAAAACATTATTTTTTTATGACTGACGCACCACACGATTCTTGCCTGAAAAACTTATACAAATACTTGAAAGATAATATTATTTTCATTCATTCTATACAACGGTCTATTTGATTTCAATCTGAATTTGAGATGAAACAAAAGACACTCGATTTCAAATTGAAACGAAGGGACTTGAGGACTTTCGTTACGGCGTGAAAACTATGGCACTTAGGTACTAGTAGACTTCCATGAAGTTACCAAGAGTCTAAGTTTCCCTCTGAAGAAAGTTTCCAAGTCCGAGTCTATGGTCTTTTTCATTTTAAACTGAATTTTGGAAAAAAAATCACGTCTTCTTTATACAAATCATGGGCCCAAGCAGGCCAATAAAAGCATACGACGGGTGCGAGAAGCGGTCGAAAATTTGATACATATATATTTTGTTCGTTCTGTTTCAATTTCGATCCCCTCGACACCCATCGAATTTTGAGCACTCAAACACTGTGTCCTATCGACGACTCACTTTTGACTCATCGAATATATTTCGACACCTCAGTACTCATCGAAGTATCGAGTATATATACATTCGTAAACAAGATATAGAAAACAGAAAATAACAATTTATTAAATAAGCTAGAATTTCTCATGATCAATCATCGACATGAAGAAAATTTAGTAATTCATGAAAAATTATATGACGTCTACTCAAAAATATCTGTTCTATCCCATATAAAAATTAGTGAAAAAAATATGAATTTTTTTTCTTGTGTCGAATTTTTTCGAAAAAACAGAATCAACATAAAAGACTAAAAATCTAATTATTATTCATAATTATGATATTGATTTTTCTTGACATCAATAGACATTCACATGTTGAAAAATTTGATTTAATGAAATACATTTGTGAGTCAAAAAAGAATTTGTCTTATGATGAAAGGTGATGATATTATATTTGAATATTGACTCTACAGAATTAACCATGATTAAAAAAACAAGAACGATAAACAAGGCAGAACAGATAAGAATAATTCGCATATCGATAAATGGCTAAAGAGCGTGGGATAACGCGTTGCTGGTTCGAATCCAGTGCGAACCAGTTATTTTTTTTGTTCTCTACGTGTTTTTCCATAGAATTTTGTTAAAATATTTTTGACTTATGATCAGAGGTACTCTTTCGAGATCTCAACATGGATGGGGGTAATTGACCACGCTGAATCCGAATATGCTAATTTTATAAAAAAAAGATTTTGCAATATAAATTAAGCACAACAACGTTTTAGAGAACAAAAAATATTTTATTCGTTTAATAAATCATGAAATTTCAAAACTAATTTAATGCTCAGAATTTCTGAAATTTTTATTATATAATTAAATCTTTAAATAATATTTCAATTATGAATTATCATCGTGAAGAACGTTATGCACTCTTCTGAACATATACAGAAATTTTTTCTTTTCGTTCTGTCATTCGTATATATATATATGTGTGTGTATACGCGTATGACAGAACGAAAGAAAAAACTGAAGGAACAAAAAAGTTTTTCTTGCAGGGAATTTTGTTTTAAAAAAATTTGCTTGGGACTACACTATACCCCACGCTCATATTCTAGTGTAATACTCAGTTTTTTGCACTCTTTCTAACGATACGAATCTTATGCATTAGACTTTTAGAAAATGTTTTTCGATGGTTTGATATGATGGAATATCATTGTATTCACTCAATGATTGTAATGCAATTTCTTGTTTGCACTGGGTAATTTCAGGAAATAAAAGATTAATCAAATGAGAAAATGCTACTTTAGCATCGATATCATAAATATCAGTACGAAATCTTTCTTCTGTTAAAGTACATTTAACGTTGTCGTTATGATAATTTAGATCTTGATGACAATTTGTACAAATTGATCGCTTCACAAACAAGTCTTCAACTAAAAAAAATCAAGAACATTTTAATCTTTTAATTTTTTTCTTTCTGTCTACAAGTTCTTGCGACGAATGCTACAAATCTATATAGGCCTCAGTTGTTTCTAACAACAGAAGTAATATGCGATAGAGCTCAATATTCCTTTCTTCAAATATGTAAGAAATATAATTTCAAAACAGAATTTCTCATTCATTATGATAGAGTTCAGCTTCATCTTTGTTCAAAAAACACTCAAAAACAATTCGCTAGGAGAAATTAAAACATCATGTTTGATCGAAAGAAATTGATTAGAAAAATGAACAAATTTTTGTTCACAAAAATCAAACCGGCACTAATCTTCTCGAACAAATTTGCATTAGAAAATCGAGTCTTTTATTCTATAAAAGCAAGTCAAAGTTACTTTAATGCATGTAAAACAGTTGAGGTCTGTTCGAACATACTTTGTGAAAAGAGAAAAGAAAATATTTCACGAAGAAAACAGACCTTAAAAAATGCAGCCCCAAATTCCATTATTGTCTATAGTCGCTTAATATTGACATTCGAACTACTAAAAGTTAGTACTTCTATTAGCATGAAAATTCATGACAATAACATTGCATTTTCAATTTTTACCACATTCAACTACACTGACTGAAGTCGACTTAGTGCACCATAAAGCAAGTTAGTGTTTCAATTAAAAGCATCATATCTGAAGTTGTCTCATTGAACTCTTCTTATCTGTTTTATTGTAAATAAATGAAAATGAAAAACGATTTGTGAAGACCTAAAAATTTCGGATATGAAATTCTCAAGAAATGGCTTTCATATTTGAATGAATCTAATTTAGACATAGTAGATAGAAACTATTGAGTAACAGTACCTGTCTCATCAAAAAGTACATAAGATTGAATCAATAAAAGGCAACGAATTTACACTGTTTTCATTTTGTCCTTTTCTTCTAAAACAAATCATAAACTAGAATTTTGGGCTAAATTTTAGTTTACTTTGTTTCTTGCGCTTTTTATCAATATAAAATGTCTTTTTATACAAAAATCAACACTTTGTTATTTCATCTTTTTTTTCTCTCATTATGTTTCAGTTTCGATACTCTTTAGAAAAGGAAGCAATGTTCTTAGTCTACTTTTTAAGAATGTGTTCATCGTATTTTACATTTCACTTAAGAATAAATGTTCAACTAGAGCTGTCTTTTTTCAGATAAAGAAAATCATTCATGTTTCATTTTCTTTCTAAAACTTAAAATATTTTCTGTTCTTTCAATTTTACCTTGCATATCGTTCAAGAGATTTTTCATTGACTTTGGCAGATTGTTTGGTGTTGGTAAACTGGAATATATAAGTCGAATGAATCTATCACAATGTGTCTTACAAACATTTGCATCACGAAATAAAGTAAGTAAATTTCTACAGTATTCAGCCTTCGTAACATTCGTTGAATCATGAAGTGATATATCAGGATGATTGAAAAACGTAGAAAGATCAAAATATTCATCTGATTCATTATTTTCTTGTTCATAAATACTCACTTCACTTATATTATCAGATGCAGTTTCATTAAAAGACAATTCTGGCATATTATCAAATGAATGTAAATTTTGTAATTTATAAATTTGACAATGATTGGAATTCACATTATTCGAATTCGAACATGATAAATTTTTAAAACTATTATCAACCTGTGTATTTAATGTGTTCGACGACGCAGCACACACTTCAGAATGCGTTGTATCAAGAAGATTACGCCGAATATTTGTAAGTGCACGTCTTTTACTATTTCTTTCATTTAAACGTCCTCGACGTTTTTGTTTACATAATGCAAGTGAAGACAGGACATTGTATTCCATCAAATCTTTTTTCTCATAATATCATCTAAAAATGAAATAGAAAACAAGCGATGAAATATTTAAAAATAAACATATTATTAATGAATAAAATTGAAATTTATTACATGTACAAAATTGTTGTAGCTTCAAGTGATTTATAATGTTTCTTGAAATGCGAGAGAAATTATAAGATTGATTTAACGTTGCGGTATACACAGGTGCTACGCCAATAGGCTAGTACGCATTATCGTCTTAGTCGTAAAGTGATAAGATAAATAAATGAACGAAGTGACAATAACAACGTATATATATATATTTTTTTTTTTTTCTTTCCTTTTCGTCGTCACTATATCTCCTTTACTCTATCTAGGGAGAATGTATAGGCATAATTCTCTCCTCCCGTTCATCGAGTATATCTCTCTTGCGTTCTTCTCGTAATATGTACAATGACTGGCAGAATGAAAAAGAAAAAAATAACATGCACTCTTTCCGAAATCTAGCATTTTATAAAAACAATTAACCTATTTTGTGACGCCTGTTTGATGAGTAGAAGTCTGCATATTGACTAAAGATGCACTATATTTCTCATAAGAGGATTTTTTTATGAAAATAACAATAAAAAAGATTGCATTCCACACGACGATCATAAACGATCGTATACGACCGCACACGATGACACAGGACCGTAGACAGTGGTCGTATAATTCCCTATACGGAGTATATGACTTTGTACCTCTAGTACTCCGTATTTTTTCACGATCTCCGTATACTGAATCCGTTTCTCGCCGTTATCCATCGTAGACGATTATCGTAAACGGAGCTCGTTTACGATTTGCGTTTCTTGCCTTATATGTCCGTAAACGATCGTTTACGACCGTGAGTGTTGGATCTGGGTACACGTTCCAGCTGAAATTTCTGGCTGTCATTTGGCTAAACTTATAATTGAACGATTGGACTTCGAATGTGTTCGAGATGGTTCACATTCAGGGATGTGCTGAAGAAAAAACTGGGGAGCGGGGGAGGGGGTCTGGAGCCTTTTTTAACATTTTCCCTTCTTTTTGAGATTTTTTTTAAGAAAAACTATGATTTTAGCTGTAAAAAACGAAAATTATCTAAAAGTGGAGGGGTCCGGATCCCCTCCCCGACCCCCCCGCTCGGCACATCCCTTTTCGCATTTACAATTACGTCATGTATTTAATAACAAACGTTCAATGGTTCCTCGTCATAAGGTCAAACGTGGTCTAATTGGTGAAATTATTCGAATGTTAATTTCAATTACCAAACCTTCTCGAGAAAGTATCATTAACATTTTGTTTTCATAAATTTTTGCTGCTCATATATATATTCTATATATCTTGCTAATGTATTTATTCTATACCCAGGTCGGACAATACGGTTACTTTACGGACCGTATTACGGTCGTATGAGTGGATGCAGTTTTACGGACCGTACTACAGTGACTTTTTCACCGTATTCGGTGCCGTATTACTGCATCCACTCATACGGAGTAATACGGACTATTTACGGCCGTAAACTAGCCGTTTTTTCATCGTTTACTGTCCGAAAACGACCCCGTAACGGGTACCCGTTTTGATAGACCCGGGTATTGATTGCTCATGTATTTATTCTATATTTATTGTTTCTGTATTCGTTCTTTTTTTTGTTGTTCATGTATTTTGTTCTATTTTTGTTACTCATGTAGTGTTGATGTAGATGCTGATGCTGATAATTTTGAGACATCTGCATTCGACTTTTTTTATATTGACTATGGAGAAAGTATGTAGAACAATCATTATTCAATGTTAATAAATGCGAAAATCTCGGATTTAAATCCGAGTGTTATGTGTACTTCAAAAAGCGAAAAGGGATATTCATTTTGTTTTTTATTTGCTCAAAAACAAAATCAATCACACTCTCAAGCTTTGAAATTGGCCATAGCACTTGCGTTCGTGCTTGCTTTGATTTATTTTTTTGTCTTTTCAATCAATGGTTGAGAGTGAGGGTACTGGGAGTAGGGGTATTGCGAGGGAGGGAATCGAGAGAAGGGGTATTGAGAGTGAAGGTTGACAGCAATGTTGCGGAAGTTGTTAACGCAGGATATTCCATCGTGTAGTATACTATCGTTTTATAGGTATTGACAAGTTTAATCTGCTCGAAAAAAATTATTTTTACTCTCTGAGAGATAAACTCGTGCCACGCAGAGAATTCTCAACATATATGAGTTTTCCAATTCTTTTTGAAAGTATGGCAAGGAGAAAATTGCAAACGCAGCATAATTATCCCTAGAATTTAGTATCATTTTGTAGCCTCTAATGAGTTCTATCAACTCTGGAAAAATTATGCCGATTCCATGGGAAATAAGCACATATCACTCAAGCATAGTGTCAAAATGTATGAATTTTTCAGTGTTTGAAAAGTGTGGTAGGGAGGAATTTTTCAACGCAATATATTTATCTCCATAATTTAGTATCATTTTGTAGCCCATGAAATTCTCTATCGAACGGTATATAATAGTCGAGGTTTCGTTTTAACTACATGTGAAATTGTGGTTTACGAAAATTGAAATGGATCAATATTTCTATCAAAACTATAGGAAATAACGGTAGTTCCTGCTGAAAATCAGTAAATCCTTGACGAATCATGCCCATCTTCGAACTCGACCGAGATATTCATGGGATAATGCTGTGTAGAAAATTTCAAGACAATCGGACTATTCTTTCACAAGTTATCGTGTAAACGGACGGCCGGCCGGACACACTGACCGATTCGAGTGTACTCACTTTTTGAGTACACAAAAATGATGCAACACGATTGTATAAAAAATGATTTAAAGAAATATGGAGATATGTTGAATACACATTTGAATGCTTTGCAGATAAGCCATGAAAAATATTTTATTTTAGTTAGGTTAAATCAAGTGATGAAAAATTTAATTATTTTTTTTTAATCATTTTCACAAAGTTTTATTTAGGTTAAAAAGGAAAAAAATAGGAAAATATTCTTTTTCTTAACAATATATATATATATCCAATGATATCTTTAGATTTCAACTTATCAAAGAATAACTAAATTCTAATGTGTCTTTGTCATTTGATTACACATTCAAAATTAGCAAATTTCTTTAAAACAGTGAGATGGATATGATCATAATTATGAAACTATGTATTCTTTTCTTCTATATATATATTTATAAATCATCTCAGGCAATGATCAGTTTCATGTAACATTATTATATAAGTTGAATAAGTGTCAACTAAAAATTTACAGCTGAAAGTTTAAACAATTATTGTTTGATTTCGAACTTTTCAAATAGTTTTCCTATTCAATGATTATCATGTGATCTATTTGTTTTTTTTTTGTTAGATCGCACTCAAATATTACTCAATCATTGTCCAAATAAGATAATGAGGACTTTCGTTTAGAAAAATATTTGGAGATGATAATTAATATTTTATTTTATTTTATAGTTTTTAAGTAGAAAACACCAAATGATTTGTATTTGGCCCACACTAGTTAAACTGTGAAAAAAGATGTTTTGATTTCTGTTTTTCATCGTTTCTTTTTCTCGTTTTTTCTTTTTATTAATTTTATGATCGAATCAAAAGAAAAACAAATGAAAAAATGAACCTCCATTCGATTCGATTGGACTTAACAACATTCGTTGTCAGTTGTACTCAATTCGAATCGGCTCAGAAGAATCGAATCAGATCAAATTATTCACTTACTCAATACGGCTTCGATCTTTAGAACACAATATAAATTAATCGAGAATTGTTTTCATAATTCAAATTGAAAATATAAGAAACATACAACAATGAAGTTTCTTCAACTAAAATCACGAAAAGACGGTCGTATAAAAATGTGTGAACAAATCAAATGAACTAAATTTGAATATAAATGATAAAAAAATAATTAATTAATCACAACGATAGATTGAAATAATTCCAAAATGAATAAAGAAGAATTTACTTGTAGACAAATGTATACAGGAAAACTTTAACATAAGTAGACACTATTGTATAATAGAAACTTTTATATAGGAGAACTTTTTTGAAATTATCTCAACTATCAGTTTTTGCTTAACATGAACCTTTCTAGAGTGGACACTGTCATATAGTTTGATGATAAATGGTTTTCAAACAGTTCCAATACCATACGTAATATAAGACGGATTTTACTATATTTTAACAATTGTTAATTTTTCAGCGATAAAAACCCATGAAAAGAAAATTAGCAACAACAGTAGTATAGCTAATTATGATATTTATAAACATGCTTCAATTATATAGAAAATAGAAAGTACATATGTTCCTTGCAAAAAATAGAAAAGCTTTATTTTTAGAAAAAATTTAACTTTCTTAAAGTCGATACTTTTAAAAAGTTTAAAAGATGTTCAATATAAAGAAATTATATTATATTATCTGGTGGTACTATTTATTAATAAACAATTATCAAATGCACAATAATCTATATAAGAATTAGTCATTTACCTCCGAATGTTCACTGGTGTAGACATTTGTGAATCAATTGTAAAACCTTAAGAAAGAATTGAATTCAAAAACGTTATAAAGTATTTCTGTAGTGAACTTCATGAACTATCGATTGGTGAAAAGAGTATTTCGTTTCATCATTTCATCTTCAAAATATGAGCCTTACAAAATCGATACTTTTGAAAAAGTAGAATTTTTTAAAATGAAGTTTTTGCTTCCTACAGTCAATAGATATATTAGGAGCATGTTGTGTAATTTATATTGATGAGCATATCTACTTGGGAGCTGACTGTATTTCGAAAGTTTTCTAACAACTTTGGAAGTGAGAGATGGCAGGATCTAAGATGAACCTCAGATTCATCATTCAAGGGATGGAGAGAAATCACAATCAACATGAAGATATTTTTCGTAAACATGATTATATAATAAGTCGAAATAATATTTAACATGGATCTGATGTTTTCAGTTGTTTTTTTATTACTAATTGAAAACTAAAGGATCATCAGAAAGTTTCGACCCTTGTCAGTAAAT